GAGAATGGAAAGAGGTTGATGAGAGGATGAAAATGAGGGGTGTAAAGTGTGTTAAGTGAAGAGAGAATGAGGTGTTTATGTGGAGAGAGTGAGGAGAGAATGCGAAATAATTGGAATCAAAATGAGAATAGTGGTTGAATGAAAAATATAAATATATTTTATTAAAACAATAATGAATTATAATCAAAAACAAGAATGTAAAATTTGAGGATTTTTATTTAGGTGTTCTTAAGATGCTGATAAAGTGATAGAGATTTATCAAAAATAACAGATGCTAATGTATTTCTATCAGGAGAGTAACAAATTGATAAATTGCACTTGAATGACCATCTTCATTGGCTTTTAATTTTCTTGTCTTAACATCCCCCATAATTCGATAGACTTATCATGATTACAAGATGCTAATGTATTTCCATTAGGAGAGTAACAAATGAATTAACTGCACTTGAATGACCTTCTAATTTGGCTTTTCATTATCCTGTCTCAACTTGCCATAAGCGGATAGACTTATCCTCATTACCAGAAGCTAAAGTATTTCCATCAGAAGAGTGTAGCAAATTGAATTAACTGTTCGAGAAAGACCATCTAATTTGGCTTTTTAATAACCTATCTTAACATCCCATAATTCGATAGACTTATCATAACTACCAGAAGCTAAAGTATTTCAATTTAGAGAGTAACAAATGAATTAACTGCACTTGAATGACCTTCTAATTTGGCTTTTTAATAACCTATCTTAACATCCCATAATTCGATAGACTTATCATAACTACCAGAAGCTAAAGTATTTCCATCAGGAGAGTAACAAATTGAATTAACTTTTTCAGAATGACCATCTTTTCATTATCCTGTCTTAACATCCCCCATAAAAGGATAGACTTATCTCCACTATCAGATACTAATGTATTTCCATCAGGACAGTAACAAATTGAATAAACCATATCTGAATGACCATCTAATTTGGCTTTTAATTTACCTGTTTTAAGATTCCATAAAACAGATAGACTTATCATAACTACCAGATGCTAATGTATTTCCATCAGGACAGTAACAAATTGAATTAACTTCACTTGAATGACCATCTTCATTGGCTTTTAATTTTCCTGTCTTAACATCCCATAAACAGATAGACTTATCATAACTACCAGATGCTAATGTATTTCCATCAGGACAGTAACAAATTGAATTAACTGCATTTTTATGACCATCTAATTTGGCTTTTAATTTTCCTGTTTTACGATTCCATAAACGGATAGACTGATTATGACTACCAGATACTAATGTATTTCCATTAGGTGAGTAACAAATTGAATTAACTGCATTTGTATGACCATCTTTATTGGCTTTTAATTTTCCTGTTTTAAGATTCCATAAAACAGATAGACCCATAATGACTACCAGATGCTAATGTATTTGCATTAGGAGAGTAACAAATTGAAAAAACTGCACTTGAATGACCATCTTCATTGGCTTTTCATTTTCCTATCTTA